TTCATTACCAGGCTCTTGATGGTACTTTCTCAATATTTAGTGTGCACGCAGATAGATGTTTTTTCGCCTCGTGAGCTTTTTCAAATTACTCGGATCATTCTGAACAAGAAGGTTCTGAGAAACCTTTCTCTAAAATTGACTGTTTTCGAGTTATTCTGAATATATTGTCTCAAAAAGCATTACTTGTATACTCGGATGAAAGTCATTGCGCGTTCAAGCAATTAAATCTTCTGAAATCTCATCAACACTCACAGACCCTTACAAAGTCAATTAATACGTTATCTCAGTTTTTCAAAACAGTGATGAGGCGTGCTTTGAGAAAATACTTTACTACAGAACAAATAACTTTTTGCAAAGAAATTCATTTTCTTTTGAGCTAGTTGATTTAGATGTGATTAAACTGTTATCTGAAGTATAAAATCCAATGCTTCTGGAACGGATGGTATCACGATACAAATGTTAAAATTATGCTTTCCAGTAATTGGCATTTATCTGCTACATGTTATTAATATTTGCTTGGAAACTGGATACTACCTTTGGAAGACAGTTCTGGTGACTCCTCTGCCGAATTGTCTAATCCGATATCCATCGCTGACCTCAGACCAATAAGCATATTGCCATTGATGTCAACAATTTTAGAACCAGTAACTTATACACAGATTCTAGTTCATCTCAATGCACATAATACGTATATAATCCCCACCCGTCAACCAGGCTTTCAGAAAAACCGCAGTACAGCGACAGCCTTGTCTTATCTCATTGATAGCATCGTATCTTCCATCGACAGTAAAAACATGAGCTTGCTGGTACTGTTAGACTTGTCCAAGGCCTTCGATACGCTTAACCATCGACTACTTTTTGTCAAGTGCCACTACATAGCTTCGATGAAGTTACCTGCAACTTTATTAGGCCATATTTAAGGGAACGGAGGCAAAAAATAAATATCAGTAACCAAATTTCGACATCAAAGTACACTCAGTCAGGTATTCCACAAGGCTTAGTACTGGAACCATTGATGTTTTTACTTTACACAGCAGATTTACATGATAACTTCAAGAATACACATGCTCAATTTTTTCCTGATGTCCAGGAGTACATGATGCTAGTAAATGCGGATCTTGATATTGTTAATAGGTACTGCAGCTCTCACAATTTGAGACTAAATCCCTCAAAATGATCTGCCATATTATTTGGCAATAAAATATTATGTGAAAACCTTACACTATTAATTCACATCAAAGTTAATCGGGAAGAAATTATTTTTTCTGAAATAGTAAAAAATTTGGGCATTTACTTTGACTCGGACTTACGTTTTAACTCACATCTGAATAATGTCTTGAAAAATTGTTATCTATCCTATTTGCAAACAAACATATTCTGCATAGAAACATCAAAATTAAATTGTGTCAAATTTTAGTTATTTCTAAAATGTTATATGGCTTATCCATATATTACCCATGTCTGACGTCTATTAACGCAAAACGTTTGCAGATAATGCAGAATACCTGTGTACGGTTTATCGAAGGCCTAAGAAAATTCGATCATGTATCACACTTGTATCATAATATTGCATGGTTATGCGTTCAAAACCTTTTCAAATACTCCATTCTCAGCTTTACTCACATCATCCCCTCAATACCTCAGCTGTAAACTTGTTCCAGGGGCGTCTGTGCATAATCTTCAGGTTCGTAATCGTGACACCTTAACTATGCCAATACATCGCACAAAACTTTTTAGACGATCTTTCACATACAACGCAATTTTATATTACAATCTGAATCTGAAGACTATCCAGTCTTCCCGGAGTTTTAAAACTCTGTTAAAAAGATATTTACAAGAATTGCAAAACAACCGCTAGCTTAAGAAGTTCTTTCATTTTCAAACTTTTTTTTATTTTTGATTAGTTATTTTTCCGTTTCTTCATAAACTATTATCTCTTCTACTTTTTATAGCTAAATTGGCAAAAATCGTCTTATTATACTGTGACTTAATCTTTGTAGTTTCACATTTTTTTTTGTTTTTGTATAAATTGTTTTTTTTTCACTTCTATACGTGGTTAGATGGTGCAATAGCAGGTGCTAAATCTCGCCCCATGTAAGTACCATGTTTTGGTCAATAAAGACGATTATTATTATATTTGACGTTGCCAAGTGCTAAAATCGAAGTTCTAACATCTCTCATCAAGACCCAGAAAAGGATTTCAGGCTAAATTTGTTTTTGACCATGTTTGAAACGCTATCCGTAGGCGAACTATTGATTTTCGCGTACTGTACTATATACTTGCGTGTAGGTATACGGATGAACTTTTAAGCAACTCATATATCTTTATTATTTTCAGAATGTGAAATTACCGAGTGCAATAGGTTCTGCCACAAAATAGGGCGCACTGTAGGGCTCTGCATCTTTGGACAATGTGTATGTCAGTGACAGTTCGACAAGATTGGATTTACTAAATGTCTACATCGTTTTTATACTTATATTTAAAAAGTAGTACTATGTCAATAAAGAACTAAATATATAACAATTAATAAGCTGGTTTTATTGCATTTTTGGAAAGCAGTACCCGTTTACTCATTAGTAGTTATTTGCTTTGTGTTACGGAATTCAGCAAGACTTGCAGATACAAAAATTGATTGTAACTTGCAGCCTTGCTCGCAGACTTGCAACACTTGATTTTCCCCTAATTCTTTTGACCTACTTCTAGCATTCTGAATTAACAAATAGGTAAAGTAATAGACAGTACCAGCCAAGTCCAGATTTTCAGTCAGCTACAATTAAAAGCGTAAAGAAAAAATTAACAAACTTTTATTCAATGGTTATTATTGTTTTTACATGATGAATTTATGGTGTAAGCATTATGTGTGTCTCCTTTAAACTACTCTTCTAAGCCCCTGCTCTGGAAGGGTAGATATTCAACATTAAACCGAGAGAAAAGAACCAGCAACAGGTAAGTTTAACGAAATTTAAAGCCAGGCTGCAGTAACTGGGTAATATGCATTTTAAATTGTGCTTACAAGAAAAATCCTAGGACACCTCAAGTGTTCAAACCCACCAAATCGTTTAAGCTATACCCAGTGAAACTGAAATTTCGGAATTAAGGTTTAAATCAGCCATTTTTATTTTATGAAATTTTCGTATACCCATTTTCACTCGCCTTGCCTAGGGACACCTCGTGTGTGTGTTATACACGATGTCCTGAAACACGTGCCTTAGAAACATAACCTACTCCAAGCAGTTAGTTTTAACTTTTTAAGAGCCATATCGTCAGTCGTTCCTACAATTGTAGGACGCCTGTATGGCCTGCTTGCTTTTGAAAGCCTTTTCTCTCCTTAAGAAAGGCTAGATTTCTACTGGTCCGTGTAAGCGTCATCGGTTTCTTATTCTGATGCTAGGTTTTCTTTTTGAATTAGGAGATTTCAGACTGATATAACAGATGATATAAATCAAAAGCGTGAACAATTTGTGGCAAATAGATATTTGTAACATAACCTCAAAATAGAGCGCTTGCACGGAACAGTAGAAAACTATGAAAATCAAGAAGGCCAAAAAGGCGTCGCGTCCTACAAATAATTGTAGAAGCGACTGACGAGACGGCCCTAAGTTACGAAACACGGGTACGAAATGGTTAATGCCGATCGGGATCCTAGAAGCGACAGTGCCGGTGTTTTCGGCACCTGTCGCCGTTTCCCGTCATGTATTTTTTCGCTGGACAGACAATAGGCTATATTTTTTTATTTCGTGCGAAACATTAATCATTGAACTGTGATGCAATGCTGTTGAATGAAAAATCCAAGATAAGATAGGTTTATCGTCGAGTACCTACATTTATCGCAAAATGAATCATATGCGGGAATTTTCACGTCTACGTTGATAATCACATTTTCAAATACGTATCAGCGAGACGCCGTGTTGCAGACAGATTTCCAAGCTAATCCCTACTAATAATATAAATGATCCCTATTTAATATTATAAATTAGGAAGTGTGGATGCTTATTTATACAGAGATATATTATAGTCTAGAGTAGCACACATGCTACTTTTTGTCCCGGGAAATAACTTTGAAGTACCTGAATCTATTTCACGTGCCTTAATGGAATTTGGCATGAAGTATTTGACGCGGAAGCGCTGAGTCGCTGGTCGGACGGAAATGAGTAAGGGTATACAGATGAGCGATTAGCATCGTGAATTTTCTGCATTTCGACATTATCTTTCTAAGCGTAATCATCTTGATCTCTTGATTTAGATTTGTTTGACGTTTTGTTTTACTTTGAGTATATCTTGAAATTTCTTTGGGTAGGAGGCAAAGTATTGTAAAAAAAACACTCGAATAACTTGAACTCGAGCTTTCGACGATCTATGTCTTCATCGTCTGGAGTAAGTCGGCGAGATTGTTGCTGAAATTGTTTTTAAACAACAGTGAAGGGAACACATAGTCGACGAATAAAAACTGGACTGATGAGGTTCGATTAGGACGGAATTATTTTATTATTAAATGCCAAATCATTTTGAAAGGTTTTTTTAATTAATCGTTGACTGATTTTGGAAGAAATTTGGAAATTTTAAAACTATCAACTATTGTAAATTCCTTCGAGATTTCAAAAAGTTTCTTACGTTACGATTACGCCTAATAACTAAGTACATAAGAGTGACAGAATGATTTGGAGTCATTTGAACGATAGCATGTTGTTCTGGCGATTATTGAAAAACTTGTATTAATACTAATCGTCAATCATACCTAAATACAGACAAAACCGGAAAAAAATATGCAAGAAAATTGATTATTTTGTGCATTTCCGGACTCCATTCAAAAACCAGTTTGTGAAGTTGTACTTTTTTGTGCTAATCCTACAGCTAAGTTATCTACAAAGTGACACCAAATTTGTTATCCTACGTCTTCTACGTTAAGTAATAAATGCTATCTAACATGGGTCAAAGTATAGGTACATAAAAATGACAAATCAAAGTTTCTTAAAAATAGTTTGGACATGTTTGATGTTATAGAAGCTGTTCAAAATGTCCTCCATTATTGGTTATGCACATTATTGTTCTTAAAACAATGTGTCGTGTTGAGCAGCAGGCCATATCCGTATCAGCTCTAATTTAGTTCGCAGCGGTATGGATCCTTTCCACGAGCTCTTCCCGTGTCGTCGACCCATGACAGTCGACTTTTTGCTTCATCGTGTCCCAGAAAAAAATAATCTAGGGGCGTTAAATCGGGTGATCGGGGTGGCCAAGCGTCAGTGCCTCCACGTCCTATCCATGGAGAATGTTGCCTATCCAAATGTTCTAGCGCAAAAGCGTGTGGGAGCTCCAACCATATGTTGCAGCGGTTAATAAGTGGCGTAGATCTGAAAACTCGGTACACAAGAAGTCCAAAAATCCCTGGCCATCTAACCTTGGAGGTAGCTCAACGGGGCAGACTAAAACTCCATCCATCATTCGGGCCCACATGTTTACATCAAATTCCTGTTGGAAAGTGCTCAGTCGAACTGCGTGAGCGGCTTCCAAAGACCACAAGCGGTCGTTTCTATGGTTTATGATCCCCTGCCTCGTAAACTTTGCTTCGTCCGTCCATAGAATTTTTTTTGACATTGAACTATTTATAAGAAACTTTGATTTGTCATTTTTATGTATACTTTGACCCATCTTAGATAGCATTTATTCCTTAACGTAGAAGACTTAGGATAACAAATTAAATTTGGTGTCATTTTGTAGATAACATAGTTAGCTGTTGAATTAGCACAAAAAGTACAACTTCACAAACTAGTTTTTGAATGGTGTGCGGAAATGCACAAAGTAATCAATTTTCTTGCATATTTTTTTCAGGTTTTGTGTGTTTTTAAGTATGTTTGACGGTTAGTATCAATACAAATTTATCGTTCTGTGACACTAGATATGTACTCAGTTATTACAATTGTCATACATGTACTAGCGTAATCATAACGTAAAAATAAAAATGGATGCTATTTCAAGAGGGGTGAGGTAGGACATTGTAGGGGGTGGATTTGTCGATAAAAATAGCTGAAAAATACCCCCCTTAAATATCGGTATGTCGTGACCAAACACATTGTATATAGAAATATATATACGAGATATATATAAAAAGTAGGAAAATAATGGGCAAAATCCGAAAAAAGGAGGAAAGTGGATTCGAGCAGAAAATAAGATAGGTAACCCGAGCGATACGTATTTCTGCTGGTTGGCTTCATCAGGCCCGAAATGAATGCACATATGAAACTACAAAAGTAGATACTCAAGCTACAATTTGTAGGTTGGCTCTTGTTGTAGACTTCGTGTGTCGTTTTTTTCCCTCTCCATCTTCATTTCCTCAGGTTACACCCGTATCCGGATGTGTGGGCATGTGTATCTACTTTTGTGGTTTCATATGTGCATTCATTTCGGGCTTGATGAAGCCAACCAGCAGAATCGCTCGGGTTACCTATCCTATTTTCTGCTCGAATCCACTTTCCTCCTTTTTGCGGATTTTGCCCATTATTTTCCTACTTTTTGTTATATACCTTTCTCCTCATGATCATTTTGTCTATATATATATATTGTATAATAATTTTTTTAGAGCTTATTAAAGAACGGGTAGTAAGCTTATAGGTCAAATATATTTGAGCTCACTAGGATTTTAGAGACATGTATACGTTAATTAAGAGCATCTTTCACAGTTTAGGGTGGTACCCTTTCAATTAGCACAAATTTATTGTGAGGGTGATATGGAAGAAAGTTATAGGAGAACTTACTTTGATCATAGTTACTGATAGAGTGTCAGTTCCCTTAAAGAACACTTTGAGGTCATATCTGAGATCATCGACAAGTTACTTTTTTTACCCTGAAACTTTTCTTTGAATCTGTATATCCAAAGAATATAACCTTCCTCGGATATAAATTAGTAAGTGTTCAAATGTTAACGCCTCTTCGTATTGTGGTTCAGTCGTGATGCTGACAGACTGAAGAGACATCGAAATTTATTGGTTCATTAAAATATTAAAAAAAAACTTCTATTACCAAATTATGTAATGCACTAGTTGAATAATACATATCTTTGTCCGAAAACTAATATCATCCAAAATTATGCAAGACGTATCACCTATACTCTACACAACCCCCACGCGAGCGGAGCCACAGGTTTAGGCTAGTAAGGTATAATAGTTTTACTGAAACATTTAGTCCTATCATGTTAGCAAATTTCCCGAAATTATTGTAAAGTCTGGTTTTATTGGTGCAAGTTGTTCAATGGGGTATCTAATGTCGGGTTCATTCACGACTTAACGTAACCGAATTTAAGGATCAGCTGTTTCTGCACCAGTGTCCTCCACATGTTACGCCGCCAGAAGGTAACTATACTCTAGGCGCTGAAGAAAGAAACTAAACCCAAACAAATACACGCATATTGCTCGTGAGTGAGTGTTTAGGCGCAGGAGACATTACAGGACCGCATCAAGATATTATGGGTAGTCATCAAAAATTTCATACAAGATAATTATTATCTTTTACAGTAAATTTCAGTTAGAGATTCACAAATGAGTTAACTACACTTTTTAGTTATTAGTAAGTAAGCTGCGCGCACTCATTCAGAAGAGGAACTTGAATCTTCTGAATCGTTTAAATGAATTATTAGAGGTTCAATTTGGGTATCGATGACATTGTCCAAATCCCACATTTTGACCTCAACCTTCTGCCGAACGTGGCGGATACAGTTTTTCCATTCCTCTGCCGTAACTCTATTGACTGCGATGTGAAAGAGATTTTTTACATCAGAAAATTTATAAGTATTATTATTCGACGCCACGTATTGCTTTATGTTGGCCCAAATCAGCTCAATAGGGTTCAGCTCACAATGGTAGGGTGGCAGTCTCAAGACAGTTTTATTTTGTTTTTTGGCCATTTCGTCGATCATTTTGAAATCGTATTTGTATTTATGTCTATTGACTATACTTATCAATTCACCCTTGACCATTGTTTCTCCAGCTTTAGTAACATTTTGGAGAACCAATTTTCAAAGGAATTGCCGTCCATCTCCTCATGATAGTCCCCTATCTTTTTTGATTCAAAGGCCCACAGTGCTTCGGGAACAAAGCGGTCTTCACTACCTACGTGACAAATGATCAGCCGTTTGCCTTTTCCTGGAAATAAATTATTCCTTACACTATAGATTGATTAAATTTGAAGGAATGAGGCAATTGAGTTCATTTAGCTGAATTTAAGGGTCACGGAATGCTGATCAAAAACTGAAAAACTTAGAAAATTGAAGTTTGCAACTTCTCAAAACCCATTCAAAGCAAATTGACTGCACCCAAAGATGATAATAAATTTCAAAATAACGCTTAAAAGAGGGTCGAAGTTTTTTTCCTAATGACTACACTGCGAATGCACCATTTTTGGAGAATATCACACATTATCTGCTATCACAGCATATTATTTGCCCGAATTTATCAAAATTAAATTGCCGGATAGATGAAGGAGCTTACCTGCAGGATTTTTCAATCCAGCCGAAAGACCGTCTAGAAAAGCCTGCCTTGATGATGTTACTGATTTGTCGACCCAAACTTTCGCTTGAGTATGTCCAGCATTCACCCACGTTTCGTCCAAATAGTAAATTTTTCTTTTTTCATCGCGAAACTTCCGAATCTTCCTAAGGTATTCCCTTCTCCACACAACAATTTCTTCTTTCTCTATTAACATACTGTTTCTTCCCCGTTTCAAGAATCGAAAATTAAGTTCCTTCAAAAGTTTTCGGAATGTGGTTCTTTTAAATGATGGAAGATCCTCATCAGCATTAACTAATCTTAATATCTTATCTACTGTAGGTATCTCATTTCGGAAGAAAAAATTATGCACTTTCCTCCTGATGGCAGTTCTGTCAAAGTCATCTACTCCGTCCGTTATCCTTTTTCTTGCAGGATACGGTTTTGGCTCAGAAAGTGAGTGAGTGCTCCTATATTCCTTAATGATCCTATAAACACTGGACCGACATACTCCAGAAATATGTGCTACCTTACATATAACTTCGTCCACGACCAAATCGGGTTTTTCTTGAATTTGGTTTTTGTATATATTTAATATTATTTGTTTTTCATTTGCACTTAAATGTAGCTTCTTAGCCCTTTTTTTGGGTGGGGTTGCGCTGATGTCAACCACTTCGTCGGCTGTATCTGTGTCAGACATCGTATCTTAAGCAATATATAAACAAAACGTTCCACTCGCGAAAAACGAGTATACGCTACTGAATGCGTAATGCGTATGCAATGCAATCCTGTGCGTGAATTAACTGTTAGATGCCTGTCGTGTCATCTACAATCACGTTTACAAGTCCAAACCTGTGCAGATTCGTAGAGCGCCGACGACTGCTAGTGACCTTGAATTTGTCTGTAGATCGATGTTACTCCAGTCAATTTAGGTTCAAAGTGGATGTTTTCTAAACCAATTTGTTGTTCCTACATCAAAAATATATCGATGATGTTTTGTACTGGGAGCTCATGAAAGATCAAGGTAACTTATTTTAACAGTCATCCTTTTTCTAGTCTCAAGATGACACGAAAAAGGGTCTGTGGATTCACTAGAAATACACTGCCGAGGATGTTTAGACCTAAAGTGACTGGAGTATATCCGTGGATGCTTTCGAGGGATCTGTTCACGTGCTGATCACTGTTTACGTTTAATGTCTTTCTTCAGCGCCCAGAGTATAGCTAGTGATTTCCAGTGGTGCTCAAACGTTTTGGTGACGTCACACCCATTTTTTGACATGATTCGGGTGGTTTCGGAATTCGTCGTACCCTTGGATAGCCCTTTCCATACTGTTCTATGCTCGTATTGACGTAATTATAATAACTCTGTGGTGTCTCGTGTTCTACGACGATTTACCGAGAAAGTCAGGCAGTGACTCATCCGTTGTTTTTGTTTGAGTTGTTGACGAATTTGCGGCAGAGATTTGTTTTGGTTTTCGTCTTCGGGTGTGTTTTTCTGCCTTGGACTTGTTTTTTGTGCGATTAATTGAGGATGGCCATGCCTAGAGCAAAAAAAACGAAAAGCCGCGCTGGTATCAACTCCTGACCTTGTTGAAGAGGTACCTGCAGAAGGCACCTGAACGCAATCGCACATCGCCAGAGGAGCGCCTAATGAAGACGTTGCAGCAAGTATCCAAATCAGTTCATTTTTGCATAAATGACTAAATATATTGAGGTTATGGTCGTTTTCTTATTTCAAGGTAAATTCTTAAAATAAAGTTCAATAAATATATTGAACTTTATCTTAAGAACCAACCAATCGGATCACTAGCGTTGGTCAGCTGATCGCTACAGCTGGAATTAGAAGATGGCTACGAGCCATCGATACTCTACAAAAGTCGATAGTCGATATTTATATCGTGATGTTTGATCGATTTTATATCGCTGTATGGGCAGATGGTACGGTGATAGTTGTATGAAAAATTATTTGCGCTTGCTTACGCATGACAGTTTAGAGCTGAACATCGGGGCGGATTGATAAAAAAAATCATAGATGTATGTTAAAAATTATAATAATTAAAGTCAGTGGTCATGTTTACTTCATCCCCTAACAAAGTGC